TTCCTATTAAATGAACTATTACACAGTTTAACACCCCTTCACATACCACACATCCACACCGCGCGCCCCCCCCCCCCCCCACCAAAAAAAAAAAGAAACCCAACTAAACATGGCCTCCTGTATGTTGTGCCAAATACCAAACCTGGCCTCATCTATACTGTGCCAAATGCCAGACCTTCTGTGGAGTTTTTTTCCTGTCTGTTCCCTTTCTAGTTTTCTGCTTCTTCCTATCTTTGTTGTCTTGGTTTAGTGTGAAAGCTTTCCCAGGTGGATGTTGCCTTTAATTACTATAGCAATTATTATGTATATTTGTAGTGTGCTGTGTAGTTGTTAATTAGAATTGTACAGGTAGTAGATCTGAGGTATTAAGGTCTGTTAAATTGTAATTTTGTTCTTAAAACCCACATTTTATCATGGAATTCTTCTTATTCTTCCATGCCTCCTGATGTCCCTAACCTCTGAAGAGAGCTTTTTAAATAGTAATGTCTGCCAACTTGTCAAAATAAAACCATGTGTAACTTTATTCTTGTGGTCTGGGATAGTTACCTGGTTTTGAAAGTTTAGAAAGTGAACCATTTTCTGCACATTTATTAGGCTGACCTAGCTCACTATTGAGTAGAAGAACCTTATTGCTGGTGCAAGGGTTTTGGTCTGCAAACTGGGTATATGGAGGTGGTGAATACTTTGAAATTTAGTTTTATTTCCCATAGCTTCCCATTTTTCCAGTCATGGTATCTGTGTGTGCTTATGCTCAAATTAACAAGACATTAACATAATAGGCTTTATAGCATCAGCTAAACCAGGGTGTTCTGCTAGGTTACAGACGTGTGCCTAGTGCTTCTGGAGGGCAAAATTACCTCTTCCTCAGGTTGTGTGCTCTTCTGAGCTGGTTCCATCTCACTGCTGCTGACTACCGACCGCACCGTGCATCAGGCCACATTGAATTTTTATGTAAGATTTAACTCTATAGCAGGCTGCTATTTATTGATGTACTTTATGTCTCTGAATTTATTTTAATGGTTAATCTGTTTCTTTAAAAGCTTTGTATTTCACAGGGATGGAACTTGATTTACAAACAAGAGATCAGTGTGTTTGTACCTTTTAAACAAACATAATTTATGCCTTTTAAATAAACAGGAATATGCAAATTGTGGGTATTTTTCATCAGCCCCCTGTTACTTTCATATATTATTGAATCCTGTGTTTAGACTATTAGAGAAATTTATGGGAAAAGCTGCTGCTGCAATGATTTTCCCTGTATTTAGCTCACAGAAACTAAGTTGTAGGGGAAGTACCATACGCTGTGCTATGGCTAAAACCACAGAGGAGTGGTGCCAGCATTGAGGTGTACATACATCTTACCAAGTAGTGTGTACTTAGGCCTTAAAGATGCCTCTGCATCTCCAGAAAGGCAATTTGATTCACTCCAAATTCATGGGATCATGTTTCTTCCTTTACTCTTGGTGGGGAAAAAAGGCCTCTTGTTAGGCTTCTGGTTTCTTTAAATATGGAAAATTTTCTAGCTTGTTGTGTAGTAATTTAACTTGCATCTAGATGTATTAACAGAGTATTTGAAGCCATTTCTTTCCTTCTCCCCCTCATCTTTTGCTTTCCTTCTTCCTTTAAAAATATCTTCCATTTTTCCCACCAGCTCACAATCCCTGAATTGCAAACTTTGACTGTGGAGTTCTAATACCAAACTTGCCAAACACTTTGTTTATCTTTCTTCTGAAAAAATGGCATATTCATGATATCTCTTTTTTATTATGAAAAAGTATTGTCTCTAGTCATTATTGTTATTGAGTACCATAGGTGTTATTTTTTCCTTCCAGATCTGTTAGCATATTTCTTTCAATTTCCTCACAGATATAAATCAAACATTCTTTGATGGAATGACTCTCTGTCCATTTTCATGTCTTTGTACCCAACAAAATGGACCCAGACCTGGACAAAGACTTCCTATGTTAACTTTATATAACTTCTTAATAAAAGAATGATGCTTTTATTATAAATAAAGGAATTAACAATGAGTCGCAAGGCAGGAGTGTCACCTGTGTATCTCATGTTATACAAATTAAAGCACAGTGTTATATATGTGTGGGAAGTTTCATTTTGGGTTGAAGGCATTTGTAACATCTTGCTCAGATTATGAAACTGCATTGTCAAGGATCTCCAAGAATAGGAAGTCATTAATTGCTCTTTCTGATATTGGAGCACTGAAAATTTTTATATGGTGGCCCAAATAGAGATTATATAGAATTTTATACTGTGTGGTAAGCTTCAGATTTTGTGCATTTAATCTATCCTCTATTATTGGAAATTGCAGTGGCAATTATGTCTTGCAATAGTGTGAAAGAGATAGGATTATGATGGTAGTCATTTATACTAGATATATTACAATAAATTATTTTTTTTTTCCAATCGAGTAAAATCACTAGTATGATTTACCCATGCTTATCAGCATATACATACATGATTTTGGTAAGAGGATGCAGGATTGAAGGTTATTTGAAAAATGAGATTATTTTTTAAGGATATGGATTTATTTAGGATGTTACAAGTACTGAGTAGCTGAGAGAGAAAACAGCTGACAAAGTTAATACTGATAAATGCTGACTGCTTTACATGGGGAAGATGTTTCTAATTACACATATGCAGTAGTGGGCTCTTAATTATTTGTTAGCACTCTGGAGAGAGCTATTGGTATTACAAAATGTCAATGTTTAAAAGTGTTAGCCCAGTGTTTAGTAACCATCAAGAAACAGGTAAAATGTTAGGAATTACTCTTTTCAAACAGAGAACAGACCTCTAAATCATCCCTGTGTCATTCTGTAAGGCCCCGTTGTGTTTTCCCAAGCTGCAGCAGAGTTCTGGACTTCCCATCCCAGCAGGATGCAGGGGGATAGAGGAGGCAGGAGCAGTGAGAGCGATCAGCAGTGCAGAGTGGCTTGCTTGACACCAACAGCAAACCAGACTGGACCTCTCAAGGCAGGAAAGGTTCTGATGGGGTGTGAAGCAGAGAAAGGCTTGTTTGAGAGGTTTATTAGAATCACAGGCTCCATAGATAAGGTGAATAGCGGGCATCAGATGAAATTCATAATGTCCAGATTAAAAATAAAATATAGTTTTTCTCATAATATGTGTTTGAACTGTGGAAGTCTGAGAATGTTGTGAATGCTGAAGGATGGTAGCTCAAACAAAATTTAACACCCCTCCTACCCCTGAAAAGTCTGAGGAAGAAAACCCCATCCTAGTCTTTTAAACAGAAAAATATCACTGACTCAGGAACTGTTTGATCCTTAAACTACTGAAAACTGAGAGTATACTCCAGGGAAAGCATCATTATATCATCACTTGGTTTTCTGTTCACATCTTCTGTTGCTCACTGTCAGAAATCAGGTAATATGGGAGATGGATTTTAAGTCTAGCTTTGGCTGTTCTTGTAACTGGCATGTAGATTCATCCAGTCAAGGAAGATAATGTCACTGAACATTTCAGAGTACGTGTTATACATTTCATTGCAAACAACAAAACTACTTAAAATAGCTCAATTAAGTTTATGTTTGTGTTCTGCATGTGTAAATTACTGGTATATTGTTTGATTGGAGGTAAGAGAAGATTAACGTTCATTCATAGTTGTGAAATACATTACTTGGTAACACTAAATTTTGAGGAGAAATTTGTGTGATTATAGATAGAGCTCTTTCATTGGAAATAGATTCTTGAATCTGTTTTCTAGATTTTTTTTTTTCTAGCTTTATTGTTTAAAAGTTCATCCTAAATGTCAAGTTATGAAGAGCCTCTGCTGGTTATAACATTGAAATACTTGTAAATATTCCCTTCTCAAGGGGCACCTTGAGATCCCTCCTTCACCTGCAGATGATTTTGGAGAAAATGTAGTGTATCTTCTGTTAAGCAGCCTAGGTGATACTAGGTCTGTATCTGACAGAGATATATAAAATTCCATTCAATAAAGATGTATCAAAATATGTGCAAGTTAAGGTCCACAGAAATAACCATATACTTTGTGAGATTAAATCTATTTGATGACTCTATAATTAATTTCCAAAGCATTGTAATTTGATTCTTAGTATCAAATACAAGGTTACAAATAGTTCCCTTCATGTTTTCCAAAACAGCTAACCAACTGGAGGTTTGTAAGGATGTGTTTAAGTTGCTTTTGGTGTGATTGAACTGGAAGTTGGAAACGTTTCCTGTGGCAGATGCATTCTTGATGTATAACTACTTTCCCTTTGTTTTCAGAAATAAGACTCAGTATTTTAGCTAGTGCTCCGTTATTGTACCTGTGCTTATTTTTACATATTTAAATTACAAAAAAATGCATGAGAATCTGCTTGCATTTAAAAAGACAAAATATAATAGTGTGTATGTTAGTATATGTTTATATATACATATTTATATACAAATACATATATATATAACATTGTCAACTGTGTGCCTTTAACATGCCAGGTCACATCAGTAATATTCTTGTAGTCTTATTGTCATGAGGCTTTTTTTCCATATCCAAAGAAGTCAAGAGGTATAGCATCTTTGATCTTCAGAACAGAAAGTAAAAGTCTACTCACTAACTTGCTCACATATGTAGGAAGTTGGGGCATATATTTGGTAGAAAAGGGTCTTTGGTTCTCAGACTGTGTAATGCTGACTATTTTCTTACTGAATTGGTATATAAATGTAGGAGAACGATATAGGACTTATACGTTTAGCTGGCCTGTGAACTGACTTATGAAATGTAGTAAATTTCTTCTTATTATTAGTCAGGACAGAATTCTTGAATACTTTATTCTAATTTTAATTAAGTTTTAGATATAGAAGTTTAAAAGATTGTAAATGAACACCAGTCTCAGGATATTTAAATTACTTTATGGAGCCATGTTGTACAATGGTGCAAAAATTGTTTGAAGTGTGGTATCTTGTTCTGCATTCAGTCCAGAAACTTCCCTGAGTGCCTAATTGTGTGTTTTGTTTCCTCATAGATGAATCAACTCCTAAAGAAGTCAGCAGGGTAAGTGCTGCTTTCCATCCACTCTAAAAGGAAGTGTATTCTCTGAGGCCCACTGTTCACTTAAGATGATTTTTGTGCAGTCTGTGTTCAATATTTGAGTCTATTCCATGGACATGGTGGATCTCCAGAGGAAAAAAAAATGGTGTACTGACTAGAGAACAGTTAATAAGGAAAATAAATATTAAGAACACTTGATTTGCTGTAGATAAATTAAAGGTTGTTTTGTATTAACAAATTTAGAGTTCTCACAGAGCTATTTTCATGATCCAGTTTTAAAAAGGTACTTCACAGAAACCAGAAAAATCATGGGACTTTGAGCGTAGGAATAACAGCAGACTATTTAATCAGTCTTACTGCCTCAAGAGATGTCAACCATAAGAGAAAACAAGGGAAGGAATATGCCCTGTCTAATAACTCCCTTTGAGATATGCTGTGGTACTGATGAGCTAAATTCTGTAATTTGAAATATTTTGCAGTGTACTGTATGAAATGTAATGTAAAATCTTAAATAACTTATTTGGTAATAAATTCCCAACTCTAGCCTTACATCTGATTGCCACTGTGTCCTGCAGAATATGTAGTTAGGAGGATCTGTTAAAAACTAGTGCCTTTGCTGGGAATGACAAAAGATTGGTATGGGACAGTCTGTTGTTCTCGGATGTGTCCAGTCAGCCCAAAGCACCCAAATGTTATCTTGTGTAACATGAGGAAGCCACTTATAGCTGTCTGAGGTTGAATCAAAAAATCATAGTCCTGTTTTGCTCCTCTTCTTGAATGCCTTGCATAAACTATTTCATGTTCCCAGGAGAAACACAGTAGTGTCAGACGCAAATTAAAAATAAGGCTGGTTGAAAGACTGCAAAAGCTGTCTGGGTGGTCTTGCTCTCAGGGGAAGTCCTTTGGAAAATACTAGGGCAGGGAATGAGTGGAAACAGGCTGGTAGTGGAAACCTCGGTTTGGTAACTGAGAGCAGAGGGCTGACATAAGGGGGAACTGAAGTTCACCTCTTATGAGACTACAAAAAAGGGATTAAATTATGTCTAAAATGAGTTTATTCAAGCAGAAGTTCTCCATACATGTGATGTGCTATGGATATCTAATGGTGTTAAGAATTTCTTTGAAAATTAATACGTTTTAGTAATCTATTAACTTACAACACATTTTTTGGTTACCCCTTAGTATTCAATAGTTAAGACAGTTCAGTAAATACCTATTGGTGCAGCCGAAGATTATTGTTATTAGTATATCTGTATATATTGTTTGATTTCCAAATAATTAAATATCTGCCTAAAAATCTGAGGAGTCATTATTTCTGTGGAAGAGATTTCCTTTTAATTGTCGTTAATTTGGTAATTAGATTCACATTTTACCTAAAACTCTGTAAAATGGAATTACAAAACATATCTAGGTTACCACACTTGAGCTATTTAAGGCAAAAAAAGTAATCTCTGAACCCCCCCCAAGCCTGCCCTGCCAGTCACCCCATCCGTCTCTCAGACATGCTGGTCCCAGCCATCTCAGCGCCTCGAAGTCATATATAGTGACTCAGAGTTTTGCTGAAGATGGATGGGCTGTCACTTCATGCCTTGGAGTCAGTGGGGTGCAGATGATACCTCGGGTGTTCTTAAGTAGACATATTCTCCCTTGTTTGTGCACTTGGTGTATATACTGTGTTAGACTTTTTTTTTTTTTTTTTTAAAAAAGTACAGTACTTGAGAGCACTCAGTAACACACCTTACTGCAAAAGAACATGTTTCTTAGTTCATAGTATTTTTGAATAATGCTATATATAATAATGTAGACCATTGTAATACATCCTTTTTCTTCATCAGCACCTCAAACAGATACCAGTTTAATTAAAATCTGAACATAAATTAGAATTTAAATTGGGAAAGTTCCATATGTAAGTAGTATTTTTCAGACAAAAAGACATGTTCATACTAACTGAAGAATTATGAGTTTTAAAGTCATTAAGTGATACATTTTTTAATTCCTGAGAATGTCTGCAAGAAGAAGCTTATATCACAGGGAAGCAAAAATAAAGGTCAGTGAGAGGAAATTTATTGCAGAATTAAATCACCAGCTTGTTTAAAATATTATAATAATTAGGAACCAAGGCAGAATTATGCTGAAAAATGTGGTTTTCATTGCTGTTTTTTTTTTTTTTTTTTCCATCTTTCAGTGTTGGGCAGAGTGAAAACATTAAAACATTCATAGTCATGTGTTGTGACAACCATCGCTTCAAGAGTTACCTTTTCTGTTGTTCTTACACTGGACAACAGAATTAAATTGGGGGAGGATATTTTTAAAAAAAATTGTTTAACAACTTGCTCTCCCCCAAAACCCTTACCTTTTTTCTTTGTAAATATACAAGATTATAGGATTGTTCTAGGGGGTCTAAATGCTGCACTTGTCGTTCATTTTCCCATTTTTCTTTTTATCAGCAAAATGCAGTGGATGAATAGTGTCCAGATTTTTGAAAAAAATAATTTACTTCTTGAATTACTGGAAGGAAATTTCAGTATTTTCAAGGGTTTGTATTGCAGTTTCACACTTTGAAAACTAAAGAAGTTCTGAAAAATGCTGTTGAATAGGAAATTCATTTTTAATCTTTTGATATTTTAGCAGATTAGCGGAAAAAATAAAATAAAGTAGCAATCTTGTCTATCAGAATTACATTGCGTGTTTTTGAAACAAGGTGAGAGTAGGAGAAACCTGCCACGTATTTTAAATTCTGAAATCTGTAGCACAGAAAAGAAGCATTTCAAAATTTATTATTTTTAAATCTGGTCTACTAATGGCAATTTCATCAGTATTTTGGTGTTCAGAAGTTATATGTAAAGCTATCCTAGACTGGGCTGATGTAGTAGCTGACAGGTGGGTGGAAAACAAAAAAAAATTCCTGATTCCTGTAGCCTGCTTTTGACATAAGAAGAGCTCTTGCTGCAAAATATCTCATGAGCATCTGTGACCAAACAGTGAACCTGTGAACTTCTTTCTGCATGCTAGATTCCTGTATTTATGAAATATATGTAACTGGGGACAGAATCTCCTTTCCTCATCATGTAGTATTAGGAACATCCTTGGAAATGCTGAATTTCTTCTGCTTACTTATTGTGCAGATGTGTGTTGGCTGATCCCATCCATCCTAGCTACAGAATTGGTTTTCTGGGCAGAAGGATTTCAGGAAGAAAACTGACTATTGAATTATTTTGATGAAGAAAACTAAAGCTGAATTTTATACTTTGTTTTTACTTTTATCTGCAAAAGAAACAAAAATAGAGGAGTGTAAGTTTAAGCGCTAAGTGCATATGTATTCATGTATATCTAGACTAAAGATACATTTGTTTGACAGTATTAGTGAAAACAGTGTGCATTGGAGACATGTTATTCTTTTCAGTTGGCAAAAATAACCCCATTCCTACATGAACTATAGCCAAGATTTTGTTCTACGTGCTGCTAAGTTTCCCATGATCACTGTGTGCTCTTTTGTACCTCAGATTCTGAAGTTTAAACAAAAATACTTAATGTTCCTGATACGATCACAGCAAAATTAGCTGTTGTTCATTTTGCTTAATGACTTTCCATTCCATGTTTACTTGAACAATACTTCCAGTGAAGCTGCCTTTTGGCAAGTACCTTTGCTTTCTAAACTCCAGTGATGCCAACAGCAATTCACTTTGCAGAAGTTTACCATATAAACACCAGAAAATTATTACCTAGCAAGTGACTAACTCATTTACAGTACTTTGTTCTTAGAAACAGGAATAATATTTTAAGCCTCTCCTTTCCCCTTTTCGGACTTGGAGCTTTTGGCAGCTGCCTTGGCACCAGCTAGGACCCAGCACAGTATGTCACTGACAGTAACAGAATTAGCAAGTGTGTTTTCAGTAAATAGATGCAATAATTGCATGTATCTTCCCTATGCAACTGATAATAAAAGTTTGGGCTTTTATGACATGTTGGCAAAGCAAGCTCATTCTTTGTAGTATTTCTTTATTAAATATGGGATTTAAATGTTTTCGTACAGTCCCAGAACTGAAGACTGCAACAGATTAGTCAAAAAATTAGGGGAACTAGAACAAACATATATTAAGCCTTTAGAACTGGTACAAATGGCATTGCACCCATTGTCATGAGAAGATGATGCTTGTATGAGCTGATTTCTTTATAAAGAAAATCTTGTGGATACTGTGATAGTGATAAGCAACAGTGGTAGGAAAATGAGGAAGTTTATTTTTATTTTGTACATTATGTCTTTAGAGTGCTTGCAAGACAAGTATTAGAAGGGAATGTGATTTTATAAAAAGCTTTTTAAAAAGAGGAGCAATATTCAGCCGTGTCAAGTTAAAATGAAGCTCATTATGCTTTCTTATTATATAATCTGGAGAGGTGTTATAATTGAGATATGGAGTTTGATGAGACCTTCAGTTAATAACAGCATATATGCTTTCTTCTATATAATCATAATGTTCTTTTCTTGTAAGCCAAGCCTTTGGCTTTTATTATGTATTTTTCCTATTACTAGTGAAGCAATTTATTTCAGTGTTACCATTTGATAACAGGGAAGGAGCTGATGGAAAGATTAGAATTGGATACCAATTGGAAGCAAGAAGCTTTTCCTACGGAAGGTGTTCACCATCTCTCCAAGTCTTGGAAATTAACAACGTAAACAGGCTGGGAAATGCATGCCTTCAAAATGAGTGAATCCATTCTGTGCAGAGTGAGACCTGGTTTGCATCTTCAGACATTATAGTGCCCGTCCTGCCAAATATCCTCTCATATTTTCCCCTCTTTACTTTTGTCATGAACAGTGTTTGATGTGCCAACAAACAATTCATAAATACCTGTGTACAGTGCCGCAATGCTAAACCTTGTTTACTGAGCAAGTTCTAACCCATGTCCTCTCCAGACAAAACAAGAAGAATAGACATCAGACAAATGCATGTAGAAGCAGTTTTCTCTGAGGCTATGTACAAGCATTAAAATTAGTCACCTCA